GGAGCACAGGCTCCAGACGCGCAGGCCCAGCGGCCATGGTTCACGGGCCCAGCCGCTCTGCGGCATGTGGGATCTTCCCGGACCGGGGCACGAACCCGTGTCCCCTGCATCGGCAGGAGGACTTTCAACCACTGCGCCACCAGGGAAGCCCTAAATTTCTATCTTTAATAGTAGTAATAATAAAAGCTGGAACCAAGAACAGAGCCATTAATAAGTAACTATGAGTGTTTGAGTGATTATGGTGTGCCAGACCGTTAAGTGTTTCCCTTGCATTATTTAATTTAACCTTTTCAAAACCCATTGAGGTAAGTACAGTTATTGTCCCCGTGTAACTTTTGAGGTTCATAGCTATTTGAGTGAGTTAGCTAAGATGACATCACTGAGGAGTGGAAGAGCTGGATTTGAACCCAGATCTATTTGATGTGTCTAGCTGACTGCTACCCTGCACTGCTTTTTTGGGCGCATAGCAAAGGCTGATGGTAGCTGCCTTTTTTATTATAATGGTGAGCTTGAACTAGGCATTCTCTAAGTTCTGGGGACCTTCCATCCTCTTTCTGGCTTTCCTTTTCAGGACTCCCAGGAGCCATGTTGTCAGAAGTCCTGCTAGTGTCTGCTCCAGGGAAAGTCATCCTTCATGGAGAGCATGCCGTGGTCCATGGCAAGGTACAAGGCCCCCTGAGCCTTTGAGGATTAGGAACTGTTTCTCCCTGATGCTAACCTTAAAAGAAGCTGAAAGGAAGCCTTGAGGCATAGCTTGGGAGTACATCAGAGAGGAGGTCAGTTTCTCCCCAGCTGGGCAAAGAAAAGACAGGTCTTAGGCCCTCTGAAGGGCTTCTCTGGCCCACCCAGTAAGAGAGCAAAAAGATGACATGGAAATCCCCGTGGGTGGAATGAGGCCACTTAGGAAGTGAGCTTCGGTGGAGAAGAGAAGAGTTTTAAGGACTAAACTCTGGGGAAAACGAATAGGATTCTGCAAAGGAGTCTGAGACATGCATTGTTTCATTTACCTCTTACAACTACCCTCTGATGTTAAACTTTTATTATCCTATTTTGCAGACGTGGAAGCTGGGACTTAGGAGGGGATCGGTAACTTGATCAAGCTCCCGTACACCTCGGTAGAGCTAGGAGTGAACCTAAGTCTGCTTGAACCCAAAGCCATGCTTTTTCCACTCTTTCAAGCTGTTGTTTTTCATATTTTTAACTTGTATTTATCTTTGAAAGCATGGTGATTATGGGGAAGCCATTCCTTGGTGTTGAGAACGTGTGAAGTTTTACGTGAGGAGGGCAAATATAAGTAGGTATTAACTCCTAATTGATTGGTAGTGGCTGTGCCTAGGTGTGTGGGAGAGGGTGCCAACGTTGATTAGCAGTGTCTGCCAAGGGCATAGGTGAGAGTAGCCTGTGTGCTAGAATTTGCCCTCTCTTCTCGGCTCATTGACAAGGGCCCCTTTTTCCTAAGACAGGAGCCATGCTTGTTGCCAACCACCCTCAGGCTAACTGCTTGTGCCCTTCGTTCTATAGATAGCACTGTCTGTGGCCTTGAACTTGAGAACATTCCTCCGGCTTCAGCCCCACAGCAATGGGAAAGTGGGCCTCAACTTACCCAACATTGGCATCCGGCGGGCCTGGGATGTGGCCAAGCTTCAGATGCTGGACACCAGCTTTCTGAGTAAGTGCAGGGAGCAGGAACCAGGTGCGGGAAGAGCCTGGGCCCCGAAGAGAAGGGGAAGGAGGACAGCTGGGCTGTCAGCCCAGTCTGTCCCCAAGGGACCAAAAGCCAGCCACTCTGGGGGTGTTTTCTCTCCTGTCCCCACAAAAATAGCTTCACTTATTTACTAATTTTTTTTAAATTTAAAAGCATAAAATGGTCGATGTGAGCCGTTGGGACAGGTCATCAGGGCCTACTGTTGACTGAAAAAACAAAAGATGCAAAACAGCACATATAGATTAAGTATCAGTGGGTATGTAAATGCAAAGAAGAGGCCTGGGAAGATATATATCCACTGACAATGGTGATTAGTTATGTTTTGGAGGGTACTTCGGTTGGGGAGTGGACAAAGGGAGCCTCCCTTCTACAATGTTGTTTTGACAAAGAGAATGTTTTGGTGTTTTGTGTGATTGAAGATCGTTAAAAATAAAAGTAACTTATGTTACTGGAAAATACGGTCAATGCTGAGATGTTGCCAGGAAAAAAAAAATCCCCAATTATCACTGCCTCCCACTCCACCCCCGCAGGACAACGCTAAGCATTTTGGTGTTCATCCTTCTGGGTTATTTCCTGTAGACCAGTAGTTAGATTGATTGATTGAGATAGGGAGAGAGCTTGTTTTTTACCCAAAATTGGATCAAGCCACATAAACTTTTTTTTTTCTTTTCTCTTTTTTTCCCTTCTTTTTCTTTTTGTTTCTTTCTTTTTCTGTTTTCTTTTTCTTCTTTTTTTTTTCCATATAAACTTCTTAGAAGCGTGTGGGATTTTTGCCTTCTTTGATATATTGGGGCTCTTTTCCCATGCCAATAAATAAAGGCCTCCGTGCTCATTTTTACTAGTGTTCGGACTGTTTTGTCCACTCCTGAGCAGACACGGTTCGTTCATCAGCGGAGTGACTGTCTGCAGCAAAGCTGCAGTGTGTTCTTCGCTCTCAGTGTCTCCTGTCTGGGCTGACGCCTCGTCCTTTGGAACAGTGTCTCCCAGCCAGGGTGGGGCAAGTGAGACTCCTCCAGGGGCCTTTTCTTTTTTAAAAAACAATTAATTAATTAATTAATTAATTATTTTTGGCTGCATTGGGTCTTCGTTGCTGCGCGCGGGCTTTCTCTAGTTGCGGCGAGCGGGGGCTGCTCCTGATTGCGGCGCGTGGGCTTCTCATTGTGGTGGCTTCTCTTGTTGCGGAGCACAGGCTCTAGGCACTCCGGCTTCAGTAGTTGTGGCTTGCGGGCTCTAGAGCGCAGGCTCAGTAGTTGTGGTGCACGGGCTTAGTTGCTCCACGGCATGTGGGATCCTCCCGGACCAGGGCTCAAAGCCGTGTCCCCTGCGTTGACAGGTGGATTCTTAACCACTGCGCCACCAGGGAAGCCCTAGGAGCCTTTTCCAGACGGTTCCCTGTCCCCCATGAGAATCAGTCCACAGCTAGTCACTCAGCCACTCCCAAACCCTGCAGGGAGATGAAGGAAGAGTTGAAAACCCACAATTTCAAGCAAGCATCAGTTCTGCCTTGAGATCCCCCGGGGAGGTTTTTGTTGTTGTTGTTTTAACGGTACAGATGGCTTCCTGGCCCTGCCCCTCTCCTATTGAGAATCGGTAGTAGTGGTAGGTGACCCGGCGTGTGTATTTGGGGGATTGCAGGGACAGCCTCAATTCAGAGTCACTACTTTGGAGCAACCTGGCCCTTGCTCTCCGTGCTACCCCAGGCCACTCAGCCTGGCCGGAAATGTTCCATGAGAACTGGCTGCTACTTTTGTATGTCAGTAGCACGGATTGAGCAGCCAGGTATAGTGGCACACGTCTCAGACCACCTGTCTGAGACTCCCTGTGTGAGCCTGGGAGGGTCACTTACCTCTCTGAGCCCCTGTGAGCAGAGTCGTGATGCCTGGGAGGGTTGCTATGAGGATCCCGCAGGGTGGGAGGTGGGTGGAGGCTGTGATATAGAGTGTAGTCCATTCGCAAGGGCTCGTTAGGCTGCTTCTCCAAGGAGACAAAGGGGATCTGAACCTTTTTGTGTCAAGTTTTCTACTAGGTTGCCAGGGTCTTCCACATTTTTCTTCCAGTGTTTTTTGTTCCCTCCTAATAGTCCTAAACATAGTGAACATTTGGGCATTTATGTGTCCTGGTTTTATGTGCGTGTCCTGTTCTCACTAATTATGTTTTGGGAGAGGGAAATAATACTGCCTTTGGTTTTGATTTTGTACCGTGGAGTTCAGTCCTAGGCCTTTGATTTTGTGTGTGTGTGTGTGTGTGTGCTTGTGTGTGTTTGAAAACTACTAGCAATTAAGCCCTTACTGTATGCCAGGAGCAGTGCTAAGGATACTCTGTACCTTATTTAAACAACCCTGGGAGGATGTACTGCTGTTATCTCTGTTTAACAAGGAGGGAAACTGAGGTGCAAATAGATTAAGTCACCTACTCAAGGTCACAGTAACTGGCACAGTTAGGGCCCAAACCCAAGTCCGCCTACCTCCCAAGCCTGCAGTCCCCTGACACCCTCAGCTGTGGTGCTCGGACCCTGAGTCCATGTCCATCCAGATGCCGACTCCGTGATTGCTCGGCCTTTTGTATTCTGGTGTCTATAAAAGCCCCAAGGCCCTCTCACCCACCCGCTTGCACTTGTTTGCCCACGTGACAGAGCAAGGTGACGTCACAGCACTCACCCCGGAGCAAGTGGAGAAGCTGAAGGAGGTGGCGGGCTTCCCCGAGGACTGTGCCGACCACGAGCACCTGGCTGTGCTGTCCTTCCTTTACTTGTACCTGTCCATCTGCCAGAGTCAGAGGTGTGTGCGCGGTCGGGGCAGGGAGTCCGGGTGCAGCCTGCCCCGGAAACTGAGCCAGGGTGGCGGTAGTTTTGGCTGCTGGACGATGCACGGACTCCTTCCCAGGCTCTGAATAACAGCAGCTGTCCTCACCACGTGCCAGGAGCCGTGCTAGACCCTATATGTATGGTCTGCTTTCAATATTCATGGCAACCCCACGAGAAGGACACTCTCCTCATTTTGCACAGGGAGAAACTGGGACCCAGAGAGAGAGAGACATTCAGGGCCACACAGCTACTTAGTAAGTGGTGAGAGCTCGGAAATCAACTTAGTTCCCTTCAGTGTCAGTGCCTGCCTTTTTAACCCCACACTGCCTCCTCTGGCCTCTTCGATTCAACCAAAGCCAGATTCCATTCTCAGATCCACTGTGTGTCTTCTTCAAGCCATGCCCAGAGAGGCACCCTTGTTCCACATCCCACAGGCTCCAGGGGAACTCCGTGATTAGCAGAGTGAAGCCTGTGTTATGATAAGGTCTGGGTTGTCTGCTCTCTCAGGAAAGCCGGCTCCTAGAGGGGGACATGCCTGCTGAGGTGGTATCACATGGTGACAGAGGGCACGGGCTGAGGGTCAGACGGCGTTGGTTCACACCCCAGCGTGACCATTTACTAGCTTGTGTGAGGTTCTTACCCTTCCTGAGCCTCAGCTTCCTCATCTGTAAGATGGGGGTGGTAATAGCACCTACCTCGTAGGGTTCCTGTGAAGTTAAATGAGTTCATTTACTTAAAGTGTTTGATTCAGAGCCTGGCACGTAGCTTGATAAATGTTAGCTATTATTATTATCACCTTCCTCAGAAAAACTATCAGAGGATTAGAAACATTATACATGAAATGGGCCTAGCACTGTAACTGGCACACAGTGCGTGTTCATTGTGATTTGTGGTCCAGAACCTGAAGGGAAAGCCTCGAGGCGCAGCCCTTCACTCGTGCAGCTGACGCTGGCTAAGCGGCCACTGGGCCCGGGCGCTGCGCTGCAGACACATTCAATCGCGTCTTGACACTTGCTGTCCAATGCCAGGGTTTTCACCTTGAGAGGGGCGTGTCCCCTTCTGGGGTGAGAGCGGGGGACACATTCCAGAATCTGATGTGGGTGGGGTGGGCATGTGCAGTTTCAAAAGGCAGATTCAGTCTTATAATGTTATATTTGGAAAACGGGAAGAGTGCTTAATGGAAATGATAGAACCTGCTGTCTGACGGTTCTCGCTGGGGGGCAGTAGCGGTGAGATGCAGCGACTGGGAACTCCGTCCAGAGCAGGCCTGTGTTACACGCGGCTGGGAGACGCCATCCAGCAGGAGAGGCGTCCCATGAACACAGTATCAGCGCCCAGGGAGATCATTTGAGGACGATCTTGCAGGATGGGGAGCAATTCCCCTGGGGGAGAAAGGGGTGCAGAGCTGTCCTGGGCAGAGGGACCAGCCTATGCTGAGGGCAGGGCCTTGAAAGAGCCTCGCTTGTGTGGGGAGCAGGAAGGAGTTTACAGGAATGGTCGGTGGATCGCGAGGCACTTTTAGGAAGAGCTTCGGTTGGACAACAACATAGTGACTTAAACGATCCTCTCCCTATTTTCAAGTTGTCTGATTCACCATGAGTTCCTGCCATCCAACAGGGGTGCCTTTGGGGTTGGGAGATCTCCCCGAGGTCAGAAAACTGGGCCAGACAATTAGAGTCAGGCCCTGCCCATGTCCAGTCCTGGGTCTGGGCCGCCAGTTCAGCGCTGGCCCCTCACAGCCCTTCAGGAGAGTCACGCTGTGCTGCCTGCTGTGTTTCAGAGCCCTGCCCAGCCTGGACGTCGCTGTGTGGTCGGAGCTGCCCACCGGGGCCGGCCTCGGCTCCAGTGCCGCCTACTCTGTGTGTTTGGCGGCTGCCCTCCTGACTGCGTGCAAGGAGATCCCAAACCCACTGAAGGATGCCGAGGCCGCCAGCAGGTAATCAGGCCCTTGCCTCGCTCCTTGTCCTTCCTGGGCTCCGCACCCTGCGCCAAGAGGAGAGAGGTGTCCCTTGGCCACCTTACAGCTGAGGACGCTGGGAGACAGGGCGGCCACACAACTAGTGATGGCAGAGCTAGATCTGGACCCGGCGGTCTGAATCCAGAGCCTGAGCTCTTTGCCCCCAACCCGCCACCCCTCCTTGCCTCCTTTGGGTTCAGGTGCCCGTGATTTGGTAGAAAGAGCCTGAGCCAAGATGTAGAGGGCAATGGATCAGAGGAGCCATCAGGCCGCCCCTGCCATCGACTCACTGAGGGACCTTGGCCAGCCTGCTGCGCCCCCACCCCACCCTGGGAGCCTCACTCAGTGCCCTTTTCTGTAAATGTTGATACGGATACCCAGCGGGTGTTGCCAGCTGGTACCAAATGGTTATGAAAAGCAGTGTAACGTGCTGAGAAATAAACATAGGAGTGTCCTGTCCGTCAGGTCAGGACGTCTCCCCTCCCGCGGGTCCTCGACCCACAAGGCCGCAGCGTCTCCTCCGCGGCTTATTGTAAGTCACTGAGGCTTGTCCAGGCAGGGCTGCTGTCGGGCTGTTTCTGTTACTTGGGGAAACTTGAGAAACCAGCCCGAGCGCAGATAATGCAGTTTGCCCTGGGAGTTGGGTATGAGGCCCCAGCATCCAGCCTGGCAGCTTCTTGGTGACGCCTGCCCTGGGCCCTCATGGCTCCGGGGAGCCCTCCCACTGGGGGGCCTTATGTACCAGCCATGTGGGCCCAGCTGTGCTGTGTCGGGGGCTCTGCTGGCTAAGCCCGGAGGTCACTTTGGTCCCCGTGGCCACAGCAGGTGTGGGGCTGTTGATGTGATTCCCGGTCCAGATTCCCCAGGGCTGCTCTGAAGGGCGTGTGCTGGAGAGAGGCTGGGGCGGGGCTGGGGGGGGAGGGGCCCGCGGAGGTGGCCGTGGGAAGCATTCGGCAGGTAATGAGCCCTTAATGATTGCACCTGCGGGGGATGCGAGGCAGCTATTCTCCGGAATGGTTTTCAGGAATCTCAGGTTTGCTGGTTAACTGGCTTCTCTCTGGGGCTCCATTTCCTCATCTGAAAGTGAGGGGCAGCACCTATGATCCCTTGGGTGGGGGGAGCTTCCAATCTTGACCTGTGCTGAACCCGAGATAAGATGGTGACTCAGGACGGGGGCTTCAAGACAGCCGCTCATTACTGTGTGCTGATCACTGATTCTAGCCCAGAGCAGTGAAGGCCGTGTTGCCCTGGGTGTCCCAAATAGACCCCTGCCCACAGGCCGGCCAACTGGCTCTGCCTTTCAAAGGATATGGGTGGTTTTGTGTGCGCCTGTGGGTGAGCCAGTGTCCAATGTGCATGTGGGTGTGGTCTTTCTCGTGCTGTTTCCTTCCACCCAGTTCTCCCACCTCCCCTGAAGACCCATCATTCCTTCTCAGAAGCTGTGAAGAGGGCAGACCCACCCTCCCTGCTCCCCAGCATTTCCCAATCGGAAGGAAGGCTCGAGTTTGCAGAGTGGGCCAGGCCCTGGGCTATGTTCAGCTACCCCTTCCCCACCTTGCTGGCTTGCTCGCTCACTTTTCGGTCCTGGAAAGGGCCAGTTCTTGTCCAGTTCCAGGAGTAACACAGGCTGCATGGCCTCGGGCTGGACTGCTCTCCCGCTGTGTCTTGCCTCACTGACCCACCTTGTCCCTCAGCCCCTCCATTCAGAACAGGGTGTGCCCCGTCCAGCCGGCATCGCACTTCCCAGAGGCTGTAGTTAAGTTCTGGTGGCTTCCTGACATCTGCTCTGTATTAGACTCCAAGCTGCAAGCAGTTAAGGACCACGTCTGTGTGGGTTTAGTCACAGGTACATAGTAGATGCTCAATAAATATTGGACAAGTGAGCGAGTCTCGTCAGCACCAAAAAGGTCAGTAGTTAACGAGCTCAGGCAGTGAGTGAGTGGTACTGTGATCTGAATCTCGGTGTCCTCTGCTGTAAGAAAGGGGATGGTAATTGTACCTTCCCTTTTGAGTTATTGTGATTGTGAGGATTACAGATGGTCCATTAGAGAAAGCCTTTAGCGCAGTGCTTGGCCCTGGGTAATCAGTAGCTTTTGAGCAGTGTTAACTCACTATGAATCATAGCCTCACAACCACCCTGTGAGTCTCAGGTCCCTAAAATCCTCATCTGACAGATGAGGAAAGAGACTCAGAGGGGGTGATTGACTTTCCCAAGGCTCCACAGCAAAAGAGTGGGTGGACCAGGCTTGGAGTGACTCCAGGTGCCATGATCCCAGGCGGCCTCTTTTTCCAGAGCACATACTCTCCCCTGGGCATTTTACAAAGCACCTGTGTGTTTTTCCATCCCACAAAATCCTCTGTGAGGTAGACATCTTTATCCCTATTTCCCAGATGAGAACACTGAGGGTCGGAGGTGACACAGTTGCTCAGGGATGTCCAGCAAGTCAGTGGCGGGATGGGGTTCACACCAGCTCCCTGCTTGATTCCCAGCTCAGCTGCACAAGCCCCAGTGGCTTCTGCCATTTCACGGGGCAGGGACTCGACAGAAAGGAAACAAGAGCTGAGAGAGAAGGTGGGGCAGTGGGGCTGAGCACTTGCCCTCGTTCGATACTCACATGTTTTGGGTCTGTTCACTTAAACAGTCATTGAGTCCGCATTCCTTCTGGGGAGGCACCGTGGCCGCGGGTTGGGGAGGGATCCAGAGATGACCCACATTCCACACCCCTGCACTGAGCCTGTGAGGAGGGAGGAGTTACCATCCTACAGAGAAGAGTGAGGCTCAGAGAGGGCAGGCAAGGGGCCCAGGGTCACTCAGCTCATAAGAGGCAAAAAGCAGGATCCTGTGAACTCAAAGCCTTGGCTCTTTTCGCTGTACCAGGCGAAAAGGCATGCTTTAGGGCGTGCTCTTTAGCCGGAGAGGTTCAGAATTGTTTATTTTTCTCTTCTTTCTGAGTTCGGGGGCCCAAGCCCCTTTGCCTTTTGGTCTCCAGCAAGCCCAGACTGTGACCTCTGCCCTCTGCTTCCCTCGGTGACCCCCAGCCCCCTGTTCACCACCATGGACAGTAAAGACGAATCTCTGTGTCTCCTTCAGGTGGACTGAGGAGAGCTTGGAACTAATTAACAAGTGGGCCTTCCAGGGGGAGAGGGTGATTCATGGGAACCCCTCCGGAGTGGACAACGCTGTCAGCACCTGGGGTAGGTGTTCTTTATTTTTAGTCTTTTAGAAATTCTTATGACAAGTGTAGCTGCCCAGGCTCTTTGGGTTTGGGATGAGCAGCATCAGTGGATTCTGAGGAAGATGGCATTTTCCTGGTGGGAGGGGAACGGGGGACGTCTCAGGGCCTTGCACGTCCTGGATCCGAATCTTGGGGGGTGGGCTGGGGCCTGGGAAGCTACGGTTTCAGTGGGACCCCCAGCCCCAGGGGTCCAGATGGTGAAGCTGCGGAACCATTGCTGTGGGGTCTGCAGACCACACCAGCTGGGCTCCCCTCCTGTGAGGACGCCTGGTCCCACCTCCACTCCATCGCCGTGCAGCCCGTTGGAGGGAAGCTGGATGCCTGGATGTAAGGGAGGGACCCCAAGTCCTGGGTGCAGAGTGCATTTGCGCCCTCCTAGGCCTTTGCTGCCTGAAGCTGAGGTGCCTAGTTATGGGGTTGAGTCTAGTTACAGTGACACTCTACCACTACCCCAAACCCAGCCCCTTTCCCAAGAGGCACAGGTACGGAGCTTTTCCTATGACTCTGACCCACTCTTTCTTCTCTTTAGGAGGAGCGCTCCGATACCAGCAAGGGAAGATTTCATCCTTAAAGAGGTAATTCTGGGGGAGCCGCAGCTTCTGAGTCTGGCAGGGAAGAGGGGAGCCCCATTTCTTTGGGAAGGAGTGAGGGGCATGTGCCCCTGGGCATCCCCTCCCCTGTGTGGTCCCACAGGGCATGGGCCGCGAGGAAACCTGCTCTTCCCTCTCCACTTCAGCTCTTTTTTTTTTTTTGGCTGCACCGCGTGGCTTGTGGGATCTTAGTTCCCTGACCAGGGAGGATTGACCCCTGGGCCTCAGCAGCGAGAGTGCAGAGTTCCAACCACCGGACCGCCAGAGAATTCCTCACTTTAGCTCTTAAATTGCCGAGAGATCAGAGGGGGAGGTCATGCGAGGCTGCACCATTCCACTTCCAGGAAGTGGCTGTTTCCCCAGACCTTCATTCAGTTACCTGTTCATCCGTTCAGTTACCTGTTCATCCGTCCATTTGTTCAGTAAACAAGAACTGATACCTTCCTGTGTTCCAGATGACACTGCATTAGGGCCTAGGGGTATAAAGATGAATCTTGGACATAGTCCTGGGCGGTTAGGGACAGACATACACACACAAGCCACCAGAAGACAACATGGGAGTTGCCATAGTGATGGCACCATGGCCCAGCAAGACTGGAGCCCGCAGCAGGCTCCTGGGAGTCTGAGTGGAAGGGACATTTAACAACTTTCAGCTTGTTTTATATTTCCTTCTGCTCTCCCTCCGGAAGCCTTGGAATTACTGACATGCATATTAAATTCCAACACCCTCTGTTCTGTTTGCACTCAGTGTGGAAACGTCAGTGGCAGGAGTGAGGCCCATGGCCAGGAGGAGCAGGTGCCTCCTGGCTCTTCCCTGAGCCCTCCATCAAGTTGGGGGGGCTGGTGGTTGTCCCAGGGTGCTCTGCCGCCTCGGGGCGCCTTTCCCCACTCAGAGGGTCCCAGGGCTCCCTGTCACCTTCCTCAGCCAGGGTGGTCTTCTTGGCAGCTGGACAGCAGGTCCTGGCCCTCTGCCTCTGCCAGCTGGGCCACTCCATTCGAGGCTCAGTGACCTGGCAGGCCATGGTGCGGACTCCTTCTGCCTGCACCTCTGGCATCTCCCCACCCCTGCTCTGTCAGCTTCTGGGAGCCAAGCCTGCCTTTCTGAGGCCCCACATCAGCATTTCTTTAGCCTCAGCACTGCGGACATTTGGGGCTGGAGAATTCCTTGCAGTGGGGGCAGTCCTGTGCAGTGTGGGATGTTTAGTAGCATCCCTGGGCTCTGCCCACCGGATACCCATAGCACCTCCCCTGTCTCCCAGTGTGACAACCAAAGATAGCTCCAGACATTGCCACCTGTCCCCTGGAGGGCAAGTGCCCCTGGGTGACAGCCACTGCTCCACACAAAGGAGGGAGCGGAGCCATTGAGGAGCTCGGAACAGCTTCCTCCGGCTGCTTGTGGAAGCGATGGCAGGGGGACCTTGTGCCCAGGTGGTGGCTGGCCCTGCCAGGTGGACCGAATCCACGTGCAGTGAGAGCAGGAGCGAAGGCGGGATGCAGAGGCCTGTGGGCCCGCGCCTGCCCTCAGCCCACGGGCTTTTGGAGGAGGCAGTCATGACTGTGATCCTCGGCACACAGGTGTCCTCGGCGTTCTGAAGCCGCTGGGGATGACAGTCATAGGCAGGCTGCAGACCTGGGGAGTCCTTCTTGGGGCAGGGGCAGGTCATTCACTCTGTTCCCTGCGAGCCTGTCGTATCCTAAGCCCTGAACTGGGCCCTGGGGACAGAAGATCAATGCAGATGTGGCTGGGCACATGCATGGCCTATGGGGGGAATTAAGAGCTGAGCGCTGGAGGGTTTCCCAGGCATGCGGAGGCGTGGGGAGAGGCCCCAAGGTGTGCACAGTGGCCGGTGGTGGTGGCGGGGTGGTGGCAGATTCTCTGGGGTCCACAGGCTCAAGTTTGAGTCCAGCTCTGCCATTTGCCTGCTGGGGGCCCTTAGGTGAGTCACTTCTCCTGAGGCCTCTGTCTTCTCTTTTACGTAATAGGGATCCTGGGCATGAAATCAGAAACGGTATTTATCAAGTGCTTATTCACTCCTTCCTGACCAAATTCATTCATCCAGTCTACAAATATCTCTGAACAACTACTGGGTGCTGGGGCCTCAGCAGTGAACCCAAAGTTCCGCCTTCACGGAACTCCCACTTTGTGGGAGGACAAACCACAGACAGATGTCTCTGTAAGGGCACGGCAGGCCATCCTGTCTCTGTGAGGGCCGGAACGTGAAGGGGGGAGTTGGACAGGCTGATCAAGGGAAGCCTCTAACCAGACGGCATTTGAGCAGAGCTGCGGAGGCTGGGGCAGGTCCCTGGAGGAGGAGATGCACATGCAAAGGCCCTGAGGCAGGAGTGTTCCTGGCATGCTTAGCAGCAGCCAGGAGGCCAGCGTGGCTGAGTGGAGTGAGCTCCAAGAGAGGGCAGAGATGAGATGAGGCTGAGGACATAGCCAGGCCCAGATCTCTTATGGGGCATAGCCCCAGGTGGTGGTCACTGGATGTCATAGGACCCTGAGTTTTGTGGGGCCTGCAGGGCTAGCAGCAGAGGCCTGTTTGCAGAGGACTTTTTCTAAGATGAAGATGTGGTACCCAAAGTTCTCCCATCCCGATGGATGGTGGCACAGAGCGACTGACCTTTGCTGCTGGTTACAGGGCACTGCGGCGAGCAGATGGCAGATTTCTCTAAGAAGCCAGGAGGCCAGCTCCACATTAATCCCACCAATGGCTTAAAGAGGAGCCCTTGCACCCCAAACCACGCCTGGTGCTTCTCAATTAAAAAAAAGCATTGTTTGCAGAGAGGATCAAGATGCGACCTCCCAGAATGCTGCCCTTTTGAGGAATGGCTTGTCTTTAAAGGGAAGAGAAAAGCCACATAGAATGTTCATCATTTGTAAAGTTAAAAAAAAGCCAGTCTCCGAGGCTGAGAATCGATATTAATTTCATGGGCTTATGGGCGGTGAGATCAAGCAGGTTTCTGACAGCCTTTTCCAGCCCTGTTGGATTTTACAATCTTGATCTGTGAAAAGAAAAGCGAATAAACGTATCAGGGGCCTGTCCGTCTCCAGCTGTCTCTGGCTAGAGCTCATCCAAATTCTCCATGCTCTGTCCCTGGCCTTGGAGCAGTGCTCTGAAAGGCAGGTTGGGATGACAAGAAACAGTGGCTTAAGTCCCCAAAGACAGCCAACCACAAGGACAATTGGGGTTGTGGCTTTAGGAGAGATTAGAAAGCCGAGAGGGCAGATGAGGACGACGGGGTCGTGCTCGAGAGCCGGCTGACCGTGGCCACCCCAGGCCCTCCGTTCTCCCACCTGAGGGTGACTGACTTCCTCTAACCACACCTAGTATCATACCAGGGCCACCGGTCTGGGCACCATCGAGGCAGGGCAAGAACTGGCTCAGAGCGCTGGGACCCTGACTCTCCCATAAGGCTGCCCTCCCTTCACGTTCCTGTGCCCAGTGGAGCATGCTTCTTCCCCATGCCCCCTCCATGACCCATCCCTGGTCCTGTGGCTTTTTCTTTTTGAATCTCCAGCACCCTCCTCTCCAGTTCCCTGGGGTGGCCCACAGGACAGAACCTCAGCCCCTTGTACCCTTTGAACTTCTAACTCCATGCATGCCAGGCCCTCCATGTGCATGTTCGCTCGAGGTTGAATGAATGAATGAGTGAGTCACAAGCCAAAGGAAAATGTCCATCTGCTCAGGGGCCAAAGCAGGGAGGCAGCTGTAGGCGGTGGTGGGCACCCCGGGGTGGGTGTCAGGAACCCATGCTCCCTGGACCTGTCTCCAGCCTGCCATTGACGTCGCCTCCCCGGGCCTCTGCTTCCTGCACTGGGTCACGGTGGGGCGGAGTACAGGCGGACCCCCAGCCCTGACCCAGCTGCCCCGTCCTGGGCTCACCGTGGGCCCTCTTCACCCCACAGGCCGCCAGCTCTGAAGATTCTGCTGACCAACACCAAAGTCCCTCGCAGCACCAAGGCCCTGGTGGCTGGCGTCAGGAGCAGGCTGCTGAAGGTGCCGCTGGCTCCACTCCTGGGCGGGATCCCGGCAGGGCCACGGCACTCACGTTTGGGTGTCCAAGCCCTCCCTCTGCCTTGTGGGTTAGCAGAGGGGGGTGGGGTGGAGGGGACCTGGGAAGGTGCCGTTCGTCCATACACCTGCCGGGAGGCAGAACAAGGATTGTTAGACATGCTGGCTTTGCAGTGAGAACCCCCGCTTGGGTCAAGGGTGGCTGGACAAGGTGGGGACCAGGCCAGAAGGAGAGGGGGTTTCCTTAGAGGGTGGGTGTGGGCCCTGGGGACACCTCCTCCCCCTGCCCTGGTGCTGGAGCAGCTGTCCAGTGTCTGCCAGCCCCCAGGCCTCATGGGCCCTCGATCCCTTTCCCTGCAGTTCCCAGAGATCGTGGCCCCCCTCCTGACCTCCATAGACGCCATTTCCCTGGAGTGCGAGCGGGTGCTGGGGGAGATGGCGGCGGCCCCGGCCCCGGAGCACTACCTCGTGCTGGAGGTAAGAGCCTGCCTGCAGGATCAGGGTCCTTCACCCACGGCGCTGTCCCAGGCAGGGGCTTCCCATCTGCACTCAGAATCCCTGGGAGCTAAAGCACAGAGGCCGGGCCTGGGCACCCATGTGTGCACCCGTGAGCAAGCGTGCCTTCTTTTGAAGCCTCTTCCCAGGTGATTCGGAATAATCAAGTGAACACACAGCACTGAGGGTGGTGCCTGGCATGTGCTAAGTATGACGGGCCAGGTTTGGCATCATACATGTAAGAACACAGTCCTCCATAGGTCCAGGAGCAATTTCTCCCCTGGCCGCTTCTTTCCTGTCATGTTTGCTAAGTGCATCTGTTCATGCAGTAGCTGTATCTCACCTGCATGCTGTGGATCAGACATGGTCGAAAATTGTTCTCCCACTGTCAATACTCCAGCCACCACCCTGTGCCTAATTCTAGTGTAGAGGTTGAGACCTCACGCTTTGGATTTCCTCAGGCCCAGGTCTGAATCGTGGCCTCACTGGAGTGTCTTAAGAGTGCAGTGAGGCCCTGTGGGTAACACACGAGCACAATGCCCAATGAGCCACCAGCTCAGCCAGAGGGCCCAGGCTTATTCCCACACCCGGTCCATCTGGCCCAGTGAATGGACTGCATTAAAAAGCCATCTGGCTTCCCTGCAAGAATCAGAAGATCCGGCAGCCCCAGCTGACATAGCTGTGTGGCAGCAGTCAGCTGGAGGTGCCCAGGGGACCCCCTTGAGAGTGGCCCTGGTGTCTCCATTTCTCCGTAGTCCCCCACCACTCCCTAAGTATTACCCACAGCCACTATACTCTTTGCCTGGTGCCTCCCTGTCCCGCTGTAGGCATTTGAGTCTGCAGCCCCTGTAATGAGTGGGAATTGCTACTCTCCCAGGTCTCTTCGCAAATGATTCCTCACTTAGTCCTACAACAACCCACCTGTGAAGTGGATAAGTTGCCACCCTTTTACAGATACAAAAACCAAGGCCTAAAGAGAATGACTTTCTCTGAGGTTTTCCAACTAGTGAGTGGCCCTGAGCTAGGGAGTCACTGACTTATTTGTTTATTCCTTTAGTCAACAATTTTTTTTTTTGGCCTCGTTTCACAGCTTGCGGGATCTTAGTTCCCTGACCAGGGATTGAACCTGGGCCACGACAGTGAAAATGTCAAGTCCTAACTGCTGGACCGCCAGGGAATTCCCAACAAATTTTTAATGAGTATCTACCACAGGCCCGGTGTAGGGACTCCATCTAATTCATTTCTGGGCTTTTGCCCTCGTTCCCCCAGCCTTTGCCTGCTCATTCTCAATTCCTTTCACGTAGAAAGGAAGGGAACACAGTCCTCCCGAGTAGGAAATTAATAATGATGGAGTGCTGCCTAAAATACACCCTGTTGAGCCCCTGGAGAATGCCTCAGAACAGCACGTCGATTATACATTGTGTATATTTTTGGCTTCAGCAGCCGCTGAAATGTGCAGCTCGCCTCCCGGACAGCTCTGCGCTCCAGCCAGTGAGCTGTTCTCCTGTGTCACAGCCTGTCATCTGATCCTTGACAGATTTTGGATCAGAATGTGACAGGTGTCTGGAACCTGCTTTGGCAACGTGACACCTGGTGCTCAGGCGCAGAGAGAGGCCCCCAGAAGTTTTCCCTCCCTTCCAGCCCTCGGGGCCGGTGAAAGGCACCCGAGGCTGCCACCGGGCCATCACGCCTGTCTGCTCGTTTGTCAAAAGTACTGGGGTGTGTGAGGCGGGCTGCGGTGGGGAGGCAGACCCGACCCTGCCCGATGGCTCCAGGCAGGAGAACCAGGTGGGCCTCGGCAGACAGCCCTGTGATTGGCAACCCTTATGGCACACAGGCGCTCCCAGGACCCCGGGGCAGAACTGCATGCTGTCAAGCCGCACACGGCAAGAAGTGGGTGGCGGGAGGGATGCCAAGGGTGCTCTCAGAGGGGGGGTAGATGCACGCTTCGCATCAGGCAGGCCTGGCTTCCCGTGCCAGCTCAGTACCTTACTAGGTCAGTGACCTTAGGCAAATCACTTTGTCCTCTGAGCCTCAGTTTTCCCCTTGGAAAAATGGGGATGATGGTAATGCAACCGTAAAAGTACTAACAGCAGCTGACGTTTGCCAAGCATTTACCCCGTTCCAGGCATCATGTGAAGGGTATGTCATTCCATCCTCACAGCAATGAGGCAGATACTCTTACAATCCTTACTTTACAAGGGGGGAAACTGAGGCTCAGAATGAAAGACCTCTTCCCAAGACACACGACCAAGAAGTGGCAGAGCTGGGACCCAAACCCAGGCCCCTCTGCCTCCAGATCCCACATTTGTAACTTCCCTGCAGACCAGAGCTCATCCTCAGAGCCTCAGCATCTAGCAGGGTGCCAGCAGCATGTTGAAGGGATTTGCCAGACACTGATGGAGTAAATGAAATGTAAATAGGGAACGCCTGGGCAGTGAGGGTTGTTAGCTTTGTTATTTCATCAACCTGCATCTTGTTTGATCTGCAGGAGGGCAGGAATTTTATTATGCATAATCAAGGAAACCTGAACAAACATTTAGCAGTTTCCCCCACTTGTGACCTTGTTAGAACTACAAACCTGTTCTTATTCTGAAAATCGGTACCTGAGGGAGCTGTAGGATGGCATATTACTTGAGACTTCTTTTCGTGCAAATGACAGAAAGATAACTCTGGCGGCCTACCTCTGAAGTCAACCAGTTTTGGCAGCTTCCAAGGAAAGAGGCAGAGTAAACCCTGGGAGGGATCTCATTGGCCCAGCTGGGGTCACAAGCCTGATCAGTCCCCATGGCCGGAGCCTCTGAGGCCAGGCCTGGGACATGTGCTCACCACCAGCTCCATCCCAGCCCCGTGGGACGTCCTGCTGGAAGGAGAGGTTCTTTTATCAGTGGAGAGGGACTGTGTGCTGGGTAGTCAGAGCCATTTGCGTTCCCAAACCAGCAGCTGTCACGTGGACAGGGCGGGCACAGGACCTCGGCCTCAGGCAGGCCAAGCAGGAACAGAGACCTCTCTCCCTCAGGAGCTCATCGACATGAACCAGCACCATCTGAATGCCCTCGGTGTGGGCCATGCCTCGCTGGACCGGCTGTGCCAGGTGACCATGGCCCACGGACTGCACAGCAAGCTCACTGGTGCGGGCGGCGGGGGCTGTGGCATCACGCTTCTCAGGCCAGGTACCCAGGGGATGGGCAGGGTTCCACCTGGGCAGTTCCCTTGGGAGAAAGAAGAGGCCTCTGAACAGTCTCAGCTCTGCTATATGGCCTTGGTCAAGTGAATTAACCTCTCTGGGCCTTTGTTGCCACATTGGTAAAATAAGGATGCTAACAACCTAGTTTATGTAAGATTGTTGCCTAGATTCAAGGAGGAAAAATGCATTTAGAGATGCTGGTGCCGGGCTTGTTCCTACCACCTCCTTACCTGCCAAGCCTCCCACAAGCTTGAGAAGTAACCAGGACATTGTCACCACCAACCCTACCAGCCTTGCATCCCCTGCTGTCACCTCTTGATGGGGCCACGATGCAGACTGACCTTGCTACAAAAGAAAGGGGTCTCTTTCCTCTTAGTCTCTGGGGAAAGAGCAGGGCCGAGATTGAGGAACGGGCTTATAGTAGCCCCTGTGCTGGGGTGGGAGTCACTGCTCCTTTTGGTTTCCTTTCTCTCCGTCTCCCCTTCTTGGCCTTGTCCTCCTTCCTTTTCTTGTCCTGCTTTTCCCCTTGGCTCTGCTATAAGCCCTCAGTGGCCCACAGAGGCCCCCTGTGCCTCAGTGGGACTCCCAGGCCCCGGAGTCACCGTGTCCTAACTTCAGGAGACCTTGACTATGGGAACCTAGTTCAGGCGGCAATGACGATGGCGAAAGAACATTTCTTGAGCGTATGCGGTGTACCAGGCGCTGTGCCAGGCTCTCCACCTGCAGTAGCCCATGCCAGCCTCACCATGACCCTTGAGGGGTAGGTCTCATTACTAGGCCCTTTCCCAGATGAGGAGACTGAGGCTCAGAGAGGGGAAGTCATTTGTCTGAGGCCCCACGGCTGAGCCAAGGCCAGGTCCGTGTGACTCGGGATCCACAGCCCTCCCAGGGAGGGTGCCAGGCTCGGCATACCAACAGGGAGACCGGGCCCTGGGCCTGTGCCGTGAGCAGAGACAAACATTCTCCGAAGGAGTGGACAGTTGTCAGGGGTGACCTGCTGCCCTTCCTCCCCACAGATCTGGAGCGGCCAGAGGTGGAGGCCATGAAGCAGGCGCTGACCAGCTGTGGGTTTGACTGCTGGGAAACCAGCATCGGTGCCCCTGGTGTCTCCGTCCACACGGCTGCCTCCCTGGACGCCCCTGTCCAGCAAGCCCTGGATGGCCTCTGAGATGAAATCACCCCGCCACGAAGCCCCTTCCCGATTATCCTGGGCACTGGAGTTGGCCTCTGTGCTGGCCATTGGGCACCCAGCTCCTGACGCTGACCGGGAGGCCCCCAGCCCCTCTGTGATGCCCCTCCCACTGGCCATGCCCCCCAGTCCCCAGAGTAAGTCAGGCGGCCCAGAAGCCATGTCTGTGTTCTACAACATTCTCTGGAGCTGGCGGGCAGTGGGGCCATGTGGAGTCCTCTGAGACTCAAGGGCCTCTTTCCTGTCCTCCCTGAAGCGCCCACAGACCCACAAATTCCCTGGCAGAGCTGCTTGGATCCGAGATGCAGGGGTCTGGTTCCCAGAGCAGCGGGCCTTCTCCCTCCTTCCACCTCTGCTCACCTCCCCCAGGAAGCCTTCCCAGGCTGTTCTCTCCAGCTAGACTGTGGGTCCCCTCAGGGGGTGTCCGGGTGGTGGTCTTTGCCTTCTATCCTGCAGCCCGAAGGTTGGCCAAAGGCAGGGTTGATGTGCAGTTTCTTCCAGTCTGAACCCAAGGGATTTGAAGAAAAGATGGCAAAGGGGGAATAAAAAGATCTTGAGTAAAGAGTGCCTCACTCGTGTCCGGAAAGAAGAGGGAGGGTCTGGTCATCTCCAGCTGCCCACACCCTCCTCTCCTGTCCTGTCCCTTCTCCAGCCACTTTTTTCAGTGGAAAGAAAGGCTTTGGGTCATTTGGTTGTGTGTCTCGGGGGATGGGGCGGGGTTTGCCCAGATGGCCCTGGCCAGACAGGGACGGATGCCCGGACATCAAGCTCTCAGCCCCTCAATAGAGCTCCAGCCCACTTTTCCAAAAAGGGGAATTTTAAGCTTCCGTCCTTCTCAAATTGTGAGTACCCACTAATCCGCAGACTTTTTTAAGAAATGGAAACAAACCTGCGGTAGGTCATGGAATATTCCTTTCTTTCTAAAATTGACTGGGGCTGGGAAAGAGACTTGAGCACTGGTAGCCAGTGCCTGGCACCTGCTGGCCCTATTTGAATTTTATATTGCAAGTCAAGGCTCTATGAAATGGCAGAATGCATACAAAAGCCCTGGTAGCTAGCATATTGCCACCGGAAGCTCTGGAAGCCCTGGGTCTGCAAGAGGCCGGACAAGAAGTTTGGGGGGCTGGGGCAGGGAGTGCAGGATTTGGTTAAAATGGCTCTGTGCTTCTGCCCTTGACCACTAGGGGGCAGCTGGCTTCTTTCCCAGCATCTTCACGGGGAGGGCGAGTAGCAGGCAGCCTTAGAGCACAGTCTCTCTGCCCCCCACACCAGGGTTCTCTCTCCAGGTTCCGCCTGGGGTCGCTGCCAGGAATCTGAGGGCGATAGGAAGAACATCTGCCCCAGCTTAACATGTGAAAATGGCCCTAGCATCACTGATGGGGGGTTGCCTGCCTCTGCCCTTCAAAACAAATAATGCATAAAATGATAATACTGAGGGCTTACCATGTGTGGGGGCACTGTTCTAAGCACTGTCCCTCAGTCATTGCTTTTCATCTACCCCAATCTTGGAGAATAATTGCCAGTCTCAGTCCCATTTTACAGATCGGGAAACTGAAGCTCAGAGAGGTTGAGTAACTCATCCAAGGCCACACAGCGAATCAGCATCCAAGGCAGGATTCCAACTCAAATGGTCTGACTCCAGCCCCTGCCCTCAGCCCCTATGTGCTTCTGCCTGGACACAGGTTTGTTGTGATTCTTGCTGTTTTCCATGCTCGGGCTCCTGATTTCCTCCGGACTCTGATGTACGTGGTCAGAGTGGGGCTTGGGCCTGGGTGTCTTTTGAAAGTTCCCCATATGGTTTGAGTGAGCACTCAGGGTTGCAAGATGCTTTCTCAGGGAGGAGGCTGGTTGGCAGCATTTCTACACTGCAGGAGGCGGGCCTGAGAGGAGGGTGTCCAGAGGCTGAGGCCCCAGAGCCTACCTGCTCCTTGAGACGCTCCCTCTTCCTCGCTCCCTGGGGACCAGGTGTCACTCCTGGAGCAGAAGCCAACCCGTTACTCTTGCCCCACTGAAGCAGCCACCTGGCGTGCCTTGGCCTACAGGCTCTCACCCCAGCCACTGTCACCGGCCACCATATGGGCCTAGTGGGCCCCACTCCTGGCCACCTGTCTTTGATATAACATTTGTATACGATTTGCATTTGTAGCCTCGCCCTTCTCGTTGCCTAGTGTGGTGGTTCTCCCAGCTGCACCTGGAAACCACCCCTGAATGCCTCGCCCCACCCCCAGCTGTTCTGATTTAACAGATCACGGCGGGACTCAATCATGGGTAGTTTGTCCAAGCTCCTAGGTGACTCGAATGTGCGGCCAGGGCTGAGGACACTGAAGTAGATGACACCTGAAGTCATTTCTGCAGCCTTCACGGCACTGAGAGCTCGCCTGGGCCCCCATTCGGCTCTGCCAGCCACTAGCCACGTGACCTGGGGCAAGCCAGTCCACTCTCGGGGCCGTGGGCTCCTCATCGGGAAGATAGAAGTAATAGTAATGCCCACCTTATAGAGTTTCGTGAAGATTGAATGAGAAAATGCACGTAATGCCCTTGGCACGGTGCCTGGCACAGTGTAAGCGCTCAGTAAACGCTCATTTTAACGGTCCTGAGCTGAGAGACGGTGTCGCTCAGAGCCCAGAAATGGTGCACAGAGCTGGTTAGACGCACACAGCCCCGTCTGTTCAAAGCCCCTAGGTGGAGAGCCCCGGGGTCGCAGTTTGAGAAACACAGCGAATGCCAACTGGCTTTCCAGCCTCCTGGCTTCCTTCCCAAAGAGGCGGTAACGTAGCCCCAAGCCTTCTCCGGCTGCCGCTGCCAGAGGACAGCAGTTTCTCAAGTCAGCATTTGGAGTGGCTCCCAGCCTCTGCAGCCAGTTTAACACTCCCCCCCCCGCCCCCCACCAGCCAGAAGTCGCAGGACATTTGCCCGCTCTGGCAGAGGTCTCGCTTTGGGAGACAGGCAGCAGACATTGTGATCCACAGCAGACAGAGGAGCCGCTACAGTCACACCCGTGTTCTTTCTGTCGGTGGGGATCTTTTCCCCCCCCCCCGCCCCCCACCAGCCAGAAGTCGCAGGACATTTGCCCGCTCTGGCAGAGGTCTCGCTTTGGGAGACAGGCAGCAGACATTGTGATCCACAGCAGACAGAGGAGCCGCTACAGTCACACCCGTGTTCTTTCTGTCGGTGGGGATCTTTTTCTCCCTGAGACCGGCTCCCATGGACGGCTGGCAGCCTGTTGAGTCAGGCGCTGGCTGCAGGTCTGCAGTTTGGTCGGGCCCACCCCGCCATACCAGTGTGCTTGGGCCCATCCCTTTGCCTCTCGAGGTCCCCATTTTCATTCTTGTTCTCCTGCAAAAGCTTTTTGTTTAAAAAAAAAAAAACTAGCAGGCACCCCCTTCCCCGGCCCTTCCTGCCTTCCAGCTCATTTTGGACCAGCTCCTTGGCTGTTTCTTAGCACTTACTATGTGCCAGTCTCAATCATCAGCTTACGTGAGGAAGGCGAGGCCCAGAGAGGTTAAGCAACGTGCCTACAGTGTGCTTTCATCTCCAGTGCCCAGGCCATAGTCACATTTCCTCCCAGTTGTTCCCCAAATGTCCAAAATCCTGTCCAGGACCACACATCTGGCTGTTATATCTAGATGTGCCTCAGTTTCGTCACATGAAAAATGCCAGGCAGCGTGCTAAACCCCGCAGGCATTGTCACATTTAATTCCCACAGTGACTCTGCGGTGCCTGTAGGACAGGACCACGGTGCCTTATCTGAAACCCTGGGACCAGATGTGATTTGGAATTCAGAATTTCGAAGCTTTAGGGATAGACACCCTATGTTCCAGCCTTTGTGGCATCTGGGGCAGCGCCACTCCAGACTGCAGCGACGGGTGTGAAGGGTAAAGGTCACACATAGTGTGTCAGCCCTTGTTGCATCTGCCGACAAGTGAGTTTTGGTGCCAAGCTTCTGGGTTTCAGAGTGTCTTGGACCGTGGGCCTGAATGGCCCTCCCATTTTTGCAGAGGAGCAGACAGATGCTCCCTGAGAGAGTTCAGTGACTCACCGAAGGCCACAGATCTAAGTGGGTGAAGCCCAGGCTTGGACGCCATCTGTCAGGCTGGACCCGACATCCCTCACTGCAGGGTCTGACCAGGGCCCGTCTTTGGCCACCGGGGTGAGAGGGCTAGGGTGTCAGTACAGACTGAGGGTGAGGGGTGCTGGGCTCCAGCTGGTAAGTCAAACTGGAGTCCTCTACCGTATTTGTTTCTTTCCCACGGAAAAGCTTGTAATGTGACAAACGCGACCACAGGCAATGGCCCAGTCCACCGGCTGGGCCCTCTTGAGGGGTCTGCTTCTTCCTGAATACTGGGGGCAGATGTGAGGGGCCATAGCCTGAGGGGGAGGGAAGGTGCCTCTCTCTCCTCCTGGGCCCCTCCTCCTCCCTCCAAGGCAGCGGGAAGGGGTGGGGAGGCCGAAGGCATCCATTCTCACCACACTCATGAGCTAACAGGGGGAGGCCACCTAACTACACACGTAGGGGAAGAGACGAGGGAGTTGGGCCTCTTTTGCAGGCTGCTCTGCCAACCCCACCCCCACCCCCCGCTCCGCCCCACACAGAAGATGAGCTGGGTCTGTTCTCACACACTGTTTTAAATCTGATAAGGAAAACATCTATTTCAATGTATTTACATAATGTATTGGCTGAGGCTGAGGTGTCCCCCGTGAATGCTGATGGGGGCACACCGGGGCTTTCCTGGGATGCACCTGGGCATCCTCCCTGCCCGGAGAGAAAGGGGTTGCCCTCCTCCCCACGACTGCCAAGGGCTGTAGGCAGATCCTGGCCCCTGAGCTCATGGACAATATTCATTCAGCAGATATTAAATCTGCACCTATGCATGCCAGGGACTGGGCTGGGCCCTGGGGAAGCTAGGTGACTGATGGAGCTGCTCCTACCCTTGTAGGCCTGATGGCCTGTGGCTCTGGATGCTTTCATGATCATTCTC